GTGCCAGAAGCTTCATATGCATTATCTCATTGTCTCTTCCCAGCAAATCAATTACAGATGAGCTAATAGTGTATTCATTTCACAAATGAAGAATGCAAGATCAGGGGAGCTAAGTCCCCAGTCTGAGATAACTGAGCTCATAGAACGCAGAGACTGTTGTTGACTCTGGCCTGGCTAACTCCTCTGTGATGCCTGCTCCCTCTACCACGCTCTACAGGGATGTTTTCACAGGGGGATCCCTCGACACCAGCTTCAGCCTCCTCGGAGAACTTGTGAGAAATGCAAAGTTACTTCCCTACTCAGACAAATGAAAAGTGTGGGGTAGTGGCCCAAAACTGGTTTTAACAAGTCCCTGAGAGAATTCTGATAGGTACTAAAGTTTGAGCATTATCGCTGTACTGCACACTCTGCTTGGTGTGAACTGAATATTTGCTTAGAAGGCCACATTTAACTTTTTTTATTAGAATTAGAAAGTTTGCAGTGGCTCCTTACTCTTTCTTCAGGGAGAGAGACAAAGCCCAAGTGTGGGAAAGTCAGGGTTCCTTTTCCTTTCCTGGAAGAGCACCCGTGATTCTCTACCAGCACTGGGGAGGATTAGCCAACTGTTACGTTAATAGATAAATAAAGGAGAAACAGGAAGGAAAGCCAAAACACTTAGTGAAACTAAGTTATTGTCATTAGACATGATGAGTAAATATACCAAAATGACCTTGAAATTTCCCTACATAATAAATACCAGTAATTGTCTACCTTATTAAAATACTTGTCATATGTATGTGCTTTGGTTTTTAAGAAAAGATTTATACCTAGATATCTCCACCTTACGAACACACCACTGTAAAATGTGCTTGCAAGCCAGTGGCAAGTATCATCTGCTCTCTCTGGTTTAAAAAAAAATTCTGGGGCCCCAATCCCAACTATATGGACGCACCCCTACCCCCACACCGGAAGAATGCACTTCAGAGAACAGCACTGCAGCTACAACTTGGGGACAGGGGCACATCTGATCAGAGCACACAAGAGGGATGAAGGGGGAGGAACAGAGAGTGGAACACATCCTGGCCCACCAAGCCCCGAGGATGATATTCCTGCTCAGAGCAGACGATGCACAGTGAGGACCATAGGACCACTCCCAGGACGAGACACGATGCCCCTCACTGAACCATAGTGCTACGGGGACAACACTGGAGACACAGTACAGGAACTGTGCCTGATCTGACCCCATCACACTGGGGCAAAACACAATAGGTGTGCAACAGAGCAGCAAGGGAAGCAAAGCAATGAAATCCCACGGAATACCAAAAATAGACTTTGGAGACAGTGTGGCACCCCATCAGACTCAACTGGAAAACACTCCTAAAGGTCAAAAAACAGACCTGGGACTATTTATAGGCTTTTCCTTCTTTGTCATTGACTTTCTTTTTGGTATTTTGTTTGTTTGTTGTTGGTTTTGTCTTCCTTTGTTGTTTTGTTTGGCTTTGCCTTGTTTTTGCACTTATTAATGTCTCTGCAGGTCTATCTAGATAAGATAGGTGGGATAAACAATTTGGAGAAGAAAACAACGGGACTGGCAGTTAGGGGGGACACAGGCGAAGGGGAGGTGGGAGAAAGGAAGGGGGTGGGGGTCAACCATCCCAAGGACAAGGGAACAACAAGTGAACTAAACTTGATGGAGAGAAGTGCGTAGGATACCTAGCGGGGCTTAATCAAGGCCAATGTAATAGTGAGCAATTACTGAAACCTGAATGAAGGCCGAACAGAAAAGTGGGACAAGAGGAGAGTAAAAGGAAATAGAGGAAAGAACTAGGAGTCAGAGGACATTTATAGAGGTCTAAATACAGGCATGTACATATGTAAATATATTTATATATAATGATAGGGAAATAGATCTATGTATTTATATTTATATGTTAAGTATTAAGGGAGCAGATGGAAATTGGCCTCAACTCAAGTACTCCCTCAATGCAAGAACACTTTGTTCTAATAATCCAGCATTCTGTGGTGCTCAACTTCACAACACAATCACTGAAGACAAAATGGGTACATAAGCAAATGTGGTGAAGAAAGCTGATAGTGCCCAGTTATCAAAAGTTATCACGCCTGAGGTCTTAAAGGCTTGCAGATAAACAAGTGGCCATCCAGCTGAGAAGCAACAAAGCCCACATGGAAGAAACACACCAGCCTCTGTGATCATGAGGTGCCCATGGGATCAGGTATCAGGCATCAAAGACCCAGAACAAAATCATACCAATGTGAACGGGGGGTGTCGGGGAGTGTGGAGTGGAGACCCAAAACCCATTCTGTAGACAACTGGGCATCCCTTTACAGAGGGTCACAAGGAAGAGACAAGCCAGTCAGGGTACAGTATAGCACCAATGAAACATGGAACTTTCCTCTAGTTCTTTAATGCTTCCTCCCCCACTATCATGACCACAATTCTACCTTACAAATCTGACTAAACCAGAACATGTACACTGATACAGATAAGAGCCCGCAACACAGGGAATCCAGGACAGATAAACCCCTCCGGACCAATAATGAGAACAGAGATACCATGAGGGGAAGGGAAGGGAAGGGGAGGGAGGGGGAGAAAGGGGAATCAATCACAAGGATTGACATATAACCCCCTCCTAGGGGTATGAACAACAGAAAAATGGGTGCAGGGAGACAGCAGATGATGTAAGATATGAAAATAATAATTTATAATTTCTCAAGGGTTCATGAGGGAGGGAGGGAGGGTGGGGGAGGAAAGGGGGGAAATGAGGAGCTGATATCAAGGGCTCCAATAGAAGGAAAATGCTTTGAAAATGATGATGGCAATACATGTACACATGTGCTTGACACAATGAAAGAATGTAAGGATCATGATAAGAGCTGTAAGAGCACCAATAAACGTATTTAATTTTTAAAGATCCTTATAGTTTTACAACTCAGGCTGTCTAGAGTGTGACTTTGGTCTCTTCCCAGCTTATCTGACGTCTATAGCAACTCTGCAAATTGGCGTTCACGTCATAAGCTCTCCCAGCAAGTGCCATTTCAAAGTCCAGTCATCTAAATAGCAGTTCCCCCTTCCTTCAGGCCCTCAGGAGGTAGTTAGAGCTGGTCAGCTACGAGGACTTTCACAAAGTCAATGGCGCAAATATGAGTGGAATGTAAAGTCCTGTTTTAAACAAAGGATAGTTTTGCAGTGAGTGCAGGTTTACCTGAGAAATTTTAGAAAAATAATGAGCGGATTTTGTTTTGTAGAAATGAAGTAAACAGAAACTGTCTTTGCTCATACATGCTTGAATGATTTCACGCACCATAACACAAAGCAAACAAACAAAAGCAATGCCCCAAAGTCAATTCATTCTACCTCAAAGTCTACACTACATCTCTTCCAAGATAAAATAAACAGATGCCACGTGGAAATTTCGACTGAATAAAGAGTCCGTGGACTTAGATGATACATGATTTGAAGGTTGTGATAAAGAATGTAGGTCTAAAGTCAATGTTATCAGAGTCGCTTTGTCCTCTTTCCTTCTAGAGAGGTTAAAGTGAAGCGATGACTCGTAGCTGGCATCCATTCTCGTAAGATTGTTGAAATACGCACCTGACTAATCCTTCTCTGCAGGAGAAAGATGAGACTTTCTACTCCCGTAAAGAGTGAGAGTCTCAGAAACCCACAGGGCCAAGTTCTACCCTGGCCTACAGGGTTGCCATGAGTCGGAATCGACTAGATGGCAGTGAGAACCCCTCTTTCCGAACACATCGATATGATATTCATCTAAAGCTACCAGTGTTCGGAACAATTCAGAGGGCCAAAGGGACTGAATAGTATTTCCATAATTAAAAACAAAGGCCTAAGAAGTTATCTATACATTACTTTCTATAACTAAGAAAGTGATATCTCATAACTTTCAAAGGGAAAAAAATTAAAGATCCAGGGCAAATTTTAAAAGGTAAAGTATACATGCAATCATCAACATGCAAAGAGAAGGCTAAGGCGTATGAAAGTAAATTAGGTGTTACTGATCAACAAAAGGAAGGGTCCTGGTGGCCCAGTGATTCAGCTCATCAGCCACTTGGTGGGAACATGAGAGAAGGAGGCGGTAGTCAGTATTACAGTCTTAGAAACTCCACAAGGCAATTCTAGACTATCCTATCACCGGGTTCCTATGAATCGAAATCAACTCTTATGCAACTTTCATCAATCAGGGCTGTGGAGCTTTGATGGTACAATGGTTAAAGTGCTCTGCTGCGAACTGGAAGATCAGCAATTCAAACACACCAGCTACTCCATGACAGTCTGCTCTTGTAAGACTTTACCGCCTTGGAAACCCTGTGGGGCAGCGTCACTCTGTACTTCAGCTTCAATGTGGGTGACACTACACGTACAAATTGATTCACAGGCGGTGGGGTAAGAAAAATCCCTTCCTTCATTCATTCAGCCAATACCGATGGAGCAAAACTATATGCCAGGCAGCTTAGAAAATACCAACCAATCCACATGTCCTCTCCAATCCCCCTTCAATAAAAGCCAACCAAGAGGAAACACACTCACAGGAAAAGCACAATATTTATTCACTGAGACAAGTAAAATACCAAATCATAACATTACTGGAGCACACTTCCATAGAAGAATCTGAAGAGGTAACGGTTGGAGACATTAGATCTTAGTTTGGCCAAGAACTTACTGCCTGAAAGCAGCAGTCAGGACGCTCTGACGTCTCTGCATGGCCGCTTGGTAACTGGAGTCAGAGTAAGCTGTTAATACAAATTAATCTCTTCTCTAGCCAATGTAAAAAGACCACCAGACTTCCATTTAATAACACAGTTGTAAAGGTAAAACACTATCTCTTGCTATATACACTACTGTACTTGGTATACATTAACTTATTAAATGTTTTCTGTAATATCATTAGTGAAATGTAATAAAAGATAGTAGGTCTCATTACAAATTTTCATCCAGACACATCTTGATTTTTTTTTGTTTTATTGATAGTTCAACTGCCTTACTACTAAACATGAAATAGTATGTAATGAATCAAAATGCTTACCCTTGCCATGTCTACCAGGAAGTTCTCAAATAGTTTCCAAATGTGATTACTCGTGTAGATTTCCTTCATTTCCACTTCAGTGTCAACGTAACAGTGATTGACGAAGTTTACATAAGCGATTTTAACCTGTACACGTTTCAAACACAAAAAGTCAGTTTTCTTTTTTTTAATTGATAATTTTCAACTATCAACTATGAAAGTTTTCAGAGTGGAATTTGGTTAGCATGTTTCTTTACCTTCCCAGTTACCATTACCAATCCCCTAATTTTGCTAAAATACATGAACACATGACCAAGGTGAACACGTGGCTTAAAACTCCACTCCAGCAGGCCCAGTGATTTACCTGGGAATGGGCGTGAGGCTCTAGATATCAAGATCACCTCCTCTCTCTCTGTTCTTATCAGTGTTGCTTAAATGTACCAAGGGAACCCTGAATTTCCCAAAGCCATCTTCTCCACATACATGGAGGAAAATTATGCTCAGAAGGAGAGAGTGGAGCAAAAAACACAATGAGAAAAAAAAGACAAGAAGGAAGAAATCTGAATCTATTGTTAGAACTTTCCTTCAGCTTCCCATTTTTGTTGGGTTTCTGTCACTTGAAGCCAAGAAAGATCTAATATAATGCTTAGAAATGTTGAATAATAAAATTTTATTGCTATTCAAAAATATTTCAATGACTATATCTAGAAGGGAAAGTTGTATTTAATCAAGTTCTATGAAAAATACAAATTTAACAAAAACTCCACAAAGAGGACCAAAGAGGAGTCTCACTGATACACACCATTTCTAAAGAGCATAGGACAGTAGGTCTTATTGTACTTTTAATGTTTTCCTTTCTTAATTCTTTTAGCTTTAAAAATCTAATGAACACTGTAAATCCTCCTCCAAGAACAATAGGAACACATAAAAAATGATATCAATAACTTCAAGAGACTCATGCAATCCACGCTAGATCCATAAGCAGTATGGGTCCAGATGTCAGTGTGCTTACATCAGGTATAAAACAAACTCCCATGCTGGATGCCCGGGGCCAGGTTTTGTCATAGGGTAGGGAGACAGCTGAACCACATAGCACATCATCACCATCATCATTATGTTTACTAGGTATCAAACATTTTTAGCACATTATATATCATCAGGTACATACTGGAGTTCACTTTTTGAAAATTGTGGAAATTGAAGCTTATAATAGTTATATAACTTGTTGGAGTCTAATAATCTAGGATTCCACTTTTTTGGCAATACATCTGTTCATTCGTGCAAGAATATTTATTGAGTGTAAGCACAATAATAGACAATAGAACAGCGAATAGAAGCAGACACTCTTCTCATCCTCATTGAACTAATATTCTTTGGGGAATGGGTAAGGAATGCACACATAGTTATCTAATAAACGCCGAGGTGTGTTTCAAATTATAGTATCTGACGAAAGAAGCCAGGGAAGTCTTCCCTGAAGAAGTAAAGCTGGACAAAAGATCTGAACGATGAAGAGGAGGAAATTAGCTGAAGAGGAAATCGAGGAGAGGTGCAGTTCAAGGCCGGAGCATGTAGGAAGAAGCTGACCAAGACCAGGACCTCCAATAAGAACAGCACCCTTGGACTTACTCATTGCACTCGACTTCCCCTGTGTTCTATCTTAATACAAATGGAGGGAGACCACTTACCACCTTTCGCTGGAAGTGGCAAGATAAGTCTGCAGACTTTCACAAAAATATGCATTTAAGTTCATCACTATAAAGCTTATTACACTTTTAAGTTACTGTGATTCAAAAAGGTAGGTTTTATGTCAGTTATCAAACATTTACGAACTTTACAATAATACACAACAGTAAAAAAGGAAGAAATTATTGCAATATACATTCCTGGAAAACTCCTTCATAGAGTCCTATTTGGCAGACAACCAACTTCTACTGAGTTCAATCTAACATCGGAGCCAAACCAGGACAGAGAGTAAGAGATGTGTGACTGCAGCAAAATATCTCTTCATATATTCAAGAATGTGTAATATTTCATAAAGCAAGACACACTCACAGATTCTAATACATGGTCCTGCTGCACTATTCTAGCCCCCCCAAATCAATAAATGTGAATTATATATAAAGCATCTACTTTATGCTATCAAATGCTATTTTTTTAATGCAAAAAATATACTAGAGGTCACAAGTAAACTTTTCAGTTTCATCACATTTATGTAGTAGATTCCAGGAAATCAGCAGTGGCTATACATTCTAAAGGTTTACTCTCTTTCATAAATTCTTACAGAATTTCATGAATTGTTTTCATATCATTTAAACTTTCCTAAGTGTATCTCACTCATTGCCAGCAAGTCCATTCTGACTACAAGGCAGAGTAGAATGGACCCTGTTCCTCATCTGTCTCCAGTGGAGCAGGTGGTGGATTCAAACTGCTGACCTTATGGCTAGCAGGCCAATACTTAACCCACTACACCAGGAGGGTTCCATAGACAGTTCAACACAATTCTTTGACTAAATACATGATTTCATTATAAATGTTAGCACAGCAAACTTCTGGTAATTAAGAACTTTAAAAAATAGTAATAATCCCAGAGCTGCTGAGCTTATGCAAGGCTTACCTCCGGGATGCAGTCATCGTGGGTCACCACCCTGACGATGTCATCCAGGGGCAGAAGGGAATTGCACTTGATTTCAGTGTAGACATTTTTCCCCTCTGTGCATGCTGCCAGCAATTCCACGAGTGTGATGTGGTAGGCTAAGGGGCCACTCTCATCCCCTCGGTCTCTCTCTGAGCACATCATGTGGAGAAGGATGGGAAAGGATGCTCGATCGTTGTAAAATATCAGCACATCTTCACCTCCGTTTATCAACTGAAAGTACAACCAGAGAATCTACATAGTAGTTCAAATGTTCATCCTCGCAGTTATTGCCAAATATTTGGTCTATCTGAAAACATCTCTCTCTATGTAGACATAGGTAATGTTACTGAAGTATGACTATGTCAAGGCAGAATGGTAACATGGGTAGAAAGGCTCATAGTCCTATGCCAAGTGATTAGTTAGAAAAACTACCAAAACCTACCGGATATATGGGAGAGGTGGGCAGGGACAAGGATCTCAAAGGATAGATGAAAA